AACTCTGTGTTTTCAGTCTTGAACTGTAACAGACCTGTAATCGAGTAGGGCATATACCCAGGCAGAATGTAGTTGGAGGATGTCTAGCTTTCACTGAGTTTAAATTTCTTAAAATAACAGATTTACATGATTGCAAAGAATATTTACAAAACAAGCCTTGTTTTTTTAACAAAGTAAAAGTTTCATTAGCTATGAGGAGTGCATGTGAAACCTTACATAAGAGAGCTAATGCATTCCTCAGTTCAGATTTATTCATGAAAACCTAACACTAATAGAAAACACTGGGATTGTTCAGGATTACTATGGCATTCAGACTAAATCTTGAGGTAAATACTTGACTCATGTTTTCTGCTCTGGGAGTATATTAAATACACAATAAAGCCTTTGCCTGAAAAAAAAGAGAGTCTTGTGTCTCACAATATCTCTTTCAGCCAATGCAGCAAGCTTATAGACCGTGAAAAGCTTCCCGTCTGACTCTGCGAGAAAGGCAGGGATTTAAACGCAGAGGGAAACTGAATTGTTCTGATCCATATTCTGCAGACAGCCCACGGAAACACAGAAAAGCAGGAGGAGTTTTCTGAAGAGATGGCAAATGTGATAGCTTCTTTCAAGGCAAATTATGTTCACCAGCAGTTCTAGTGTCCCACTAGTGTCCCACGTTCTTTTAGTAGTACAATGTGATTTTACTTCTTAGTACAGTTTCATGTCTTTTTTTTTTTTGCATTTGTATTTGCATTTACAGTTTGATGCATTCTTAAAGCTTTCTGAGTTTTGGGTTAGGTCCTAATAAAAGCCTCACACAGACAAAGCAAAGATTTGGATGCTGAAAGAGGACAAAAAGTGATCCTCCCAGCACCAGTTTTTTTCTGCTTGGAGCAGAGTAAAGTGAACTGCATGGAAATAGTAATACATATCAAACAGGCAATCGTGTTTACCTTTAAGTGCCTCATAATATTCTCTTCTAGTCTCAAATATCAGATCTAGAGACGAAAAAATTCACAGCATTGTCTCTTTTGGCAGAACAACATCAGTATTTCAGACTTACATATATGCTCATTTATTTATTTTCTGTTTTCAGAAAGAGCCAACAGGCACATCAATACCCATCTTAGAGTTTGTGTACAACAAATATATGCACAATAGTACTGCACTCTGACTAGCATGAATAAAGAGAACAGTAGAGCTGCTGCCATCTCATGTGTGTGTCAGGCCATGTCTTTCTGCTCCCCACAGCCTGCAGGCAATTTAGAGAGTATTACTGATCAAATGCCTTTCAGTCCCACCCCCTCTTTTCCATTAATGTTATCACTGAGCTTGCAAACTCGGAGCTCCCCTTTCTTCCACACATGAGCTGCGCACACAGATAACAGGATTCATTACCGTGACTTAGTAAATCTCTTCGATTCTCCAGTAGTGGTGACTAAGCAACGATGCTTCTGTTTCACTTATTTACCAACAGTGTCTTATTCTTGTTCCCACTGTGTGCCCATAAAGTACAAGCCAAGACATGAGAGACAGGACATCAATGAAATCAGAAAGGTTAATTTCCCAGCTCTGCATTCAGGGCTGTGTGGAAAAGGGAGGATGAGAGGCTCCCAAGATATGGGCCCCTTTAATCTATTGTTACTCATGGCTTGCAGTAGTTTATTATGGATCAATAATTTCTTATAGGTTATGTCTGTATTCGTGCTATGCTTGTCAGGTAACGCTTTACTCCAGGATTAGGTCAATTGCTTTGAATAGGCTCGTTTGTGATTTTTTTAAAACAAGTTGAGAATTTCCTGCAAAAAGTTATGAGTATGCTGCGGAATTACAATATGAAATTTCTGGTCTGTTACGCAGGATGCCAGAGGAGGTCCTCAAAATAATGTTCAAAATCACCAAGAACTCATCTCAGTGAGGGTTTTTGGGGAACTGAATGTTACTTAGTGTAAATCGTTCAGAATCTTGCCCTGTGGAATGGAAACAAAGCAGAAAAACTTAACTGAGAAACTGGGGGGTGGGTTATAACAGCTTGGGATAAGAGGTTTATTTTTCTCCTGAGGTAAGTAGGAGTCTATTAGATTTCTCCTGGACATATTTTTTGGTGATGCACGCAGGAAGTGCGTTTAAAGGAAGGATCGGTACCATGGGGGATTTGGGAATCCAGGCATAACAGGAAAAGCTACTGCTGAAATTTAATCAGAGAATGTTTTCTCATGGGAATTCCAGCGTTTCTGCTTACAGTCAGCAAAGAGAACATAGCGCAAACCTGAGTGACTTCTGCCTAAGTGTTTCAAACATCTTATGAAAGCTTGCAAACGGATGACAAATCAGGGGCTGTTACGCATGTAAACAGTTGTCCTCAGGGTTATTTGTCTTATGTGAGATTTCCTTCTTGTCTGTAGTGCACATATGGTTAAGACCAGTATGTAAATCCCACAGCCTGACTTCCCAGGCTACCATGCTCCATGCTGGCCAGGGCAGTACCAGTACTTCTCGTTGAAAATGACGAGACAAAGTACTGCCTTACTCTCTGTTCCAAAAAAAAAAAAACCCATATGTATATACACCGTGGGCAGGTAGAATTTTACATAGCTTTGTGCATCAGCTGATCCTGTGCTGTTATTGCAGTCTGCTGTGGGGGTATCCAGCATATTCTCTGTGGCATGGATATTTTCCCTTAATGTCTTCATTCCTCCTTTTCCTCAGCAGATGTAGTTATGTCAATGAACTTGCATAAATGCTCTGATTTACGTGACATATGGATTGGGACAATAAACCTCAGGCTTGGTGTGTGCGTACAGGTGTATTTACGCAACTGAATGGCAGGCTCTTAGGAGTAACTAATTTCCCATCTTGCCTTGTTAAGTCTCCCATTCTGAGGATGAAATTCATTTGCCTGAAGAAGTTCAGTCTTCACAGTGCCCTTCATTCATCTCTGTCCCTTATATGGTGGATGGCTTTGCCATATCCTCTTTCTTGCACCGTGAGCCCTTATGTCAGAGGTCAGTAGTGACTAGGTTTGCTGAATACCAAAGCGGGATGTATGTGTGGCACAGCTAGCCTGCAGTAATGGTGTGTTTGCTTGCAGGATCCCATGTTTTCTAGAAGATACATTTCCCAGCTGTGGCACAGTATGGTGTCTCCCACCCCTTCCTCTGCCCCTATTAAATAACCAGTGCGGACTGAAGAATCCTGCAAGGTCGATCTATATCATTTGGACATTTGTATACTCTCATGAGCTACTCCCACCAGGTCTGCAAAGCTCCCTGATCTGTGTGCTCACCTGCAATTGATGAATGTGCAAATGAGAAGACAATAGAGTTTGAGCACATAGCTGCAAAGACCTCGACTATGAAAATCAAGCCTCCAGTGTATGGGTTGTAACTTTGCATTTTGACGATTATGTGGCATTTAGATAAGAACACGCCACCAATTCTTTTAGCCTTTACAAAGGCTCAGGTTTAATCAATGATATGCTGAAAGGAGATATGCCTTTCATGCTGGCCCTTGCAATAAAGCTCTGCTGCTAGCACTGAGGTGAAGGGTCCTGAGGAAATGGAGCTGCTTGTAATCATTCTCCAGCTCCCCTCAACCCTCCTGAAGAGGCAGGACTTGCTGGGCTTTCATGCGCTGATCATGCGTTGTCCTGACCTGCCTCACCCAGCAGCCATTTGCTAGGGGTAAATTTGTTTTGTGTTCTCAAGCTGAATGGCTTTGGCAATTCCTTTCACAAATGTAGAAATCACCCTCGCAAAAATAACCAGTGGGCTCCAGCAGTGAGATATAGCTTTGAACCAGTACTCTCTTTTAGCTCTGCAAAGGCATTGAGTGATTGTATTTTAAAGCCTTGGCATACTGCGGATTAAAAAAATTAAGACAGGTGCTTCATGGGCTTTCCTCTCTCTCTGGGCTCTGGACAGCTGGACTTACAGTAAGTCATGCATTTGCTTGGACAGGTAGAAAAAAATGAGACACACTCATTCGTGTTTTTTAAATTCTGTGAAATAGATCTAAATGACATGTTATTGTTTACGTGGAAAATATAAAATAGGCAATGATCCAACATAAAAGTTGAATGGTGCTGTCCTTAGGACACTTTATTTAATACATTTGTGGGTTTCCTGTTTGTGTGTAATGTGCATTCCAGACTCCCCTTAGTATAATAACTCTTGTATTATGTCACAGAATGGTGGCCTAATAAGAGACCAAGCCTTTCTTTGGAATTCATACCTGCATATTCCTGCCTGATACCATTTTTCTGTACCACTAGATGGCTTTTCTACCCAATATTTTATATCACTTTCTTCGAAGTCACTACAAGTACGACGAGTCTACTGTTGAGTGCAACTGTGAAACAAACTCTTTGAAAACAGAGAAAGAAGCTAAAACATAATTCAGCAGAGGAACTCTTAAACTTCCCATAGGTTTACAGTGAAATCTTCTGAGGTCTCTTCTCTATCCATCTGATTTTTTGTTTCAAGTTAGCTATAGCTAGCTAGCTATATTTCTGGATTTTGAGCATATGATGTCTGCTAGGATATATTTCTATATAGCCGTGAAATTTTGCAAACTTCCGTGTGTCTAATTTGATGATAGACGTTTTTGTGCTATGCCAGAGTAAACCTGTTAGTAACACAGAGAAACAGGATGCATACTTTTTAGTGAAATGCATTGCTCTCAGCAAGAGTAAACTGAGGTTTCTTGTTTCAGATATTTCACTCTGCTGCAGATATCTTCTTAACTACAGGTCTTTACTCATTTCTCGTATAAGCACAGAAAAATCTGACTGATGGTAATATCTTTTTTCCAGTAGCACTCAGAATGCCTCAGTTCATTTCCAAGAAGAAAAACCCTGAGGAGCTCACTGACTAATGATAAGTGAGTACAGAACAGTATGTGGGGGGAGGATGAGCTACAAATCCACAGATATGTTAAAAAAAAAAAAAAGAAAAAAACATAGTTGTTTTTTTAAGTTTGGCCATGCCGAGTATTTTATTGGAAGCACAATACAGCTGTGTTGTCCAGAGAGAGACCTGAGACCAGACAGATGTCAGAAGTTTGGCAGATGAGCTCAGGGTTTGAATTTCTCACTCACTTCATACATTTTTCGTTTTACATATTTGACTTTCATTTTCTGTTATAAAAATGGCCACGTATTCGTTGGAGAGAAAACCCAGAATGCTCTCCTGACAAGTACACTTCAGCGGTATGAGAATCCACATCAGCAGCTCTTGCAGGCAGAATGCAGTGACACACATGGGATTAACACGCAGATTTTACGAGGGCTAATCAGGCAACTAATTTTATGCGCATCAGGGAAGACCTCAGATGACGAGGAAAACCAGCTGCTCATGAGAAGGCCGTAGGCCCCACTTCGGCAAATGGCAAGGAGAGCACTTTCTGGACTTGATTACTTATTTAAAAGTTGATTCCCACCTCTGGAATCAGCCAAGGACGCTGGACCCAGTCCAGTAAAGGCTGAGCACCGCAACACAGAGCTGCTGTAAACTGACGCAGCGCCAGAGGTGCCGCACGCTGATTTGCTCCCTTTCCATCCAGGGCTCTACCTTTAAGTATAGCAGCCAGGGTACTGATATAGCGGAATAAATAAAAAAGCAGTCAGTAGTAAGCGGTTTTTTTCATTAAACAAGTATCCTTTCAGCAGCCGTCATATAGAATAATTCTGCATAGTATAATCTCATTGAACGCAACTGAACGCTGCCTAAGCAGCCAACTGAAAGTCATGTCATTAGCCTGGTGCTGATTCAAAGTCAATATACTCTGCTCTCGAGGGGAATTTTTAGCTAAGGCTTGGCACTTAGCTAGTGCAGTCGCATGGCTTCTGGTTGGCGTGGAGCACAGACAAGAGCTTGTTGATGTATCTCAGGGTATGCCATGCAGACATACCCAGAACTACCTGAAATATAGCGTGGAGATGCATCTGTAGGCTGATCTTTAAGTTATAATAATTTTAACCAAAAACATCAACTGTTTTTGTCATTCTTGAATCCTTTCATCACAATCTATGCCTTTGCTTTGCCTCAGTGGTTTAAAGCACCTGCACAAAGTGAACGTAAGAGCCTGCCCGTCTGCTCTGGCAGTATTGTGCTTTCAGTTAGTGCTGCAAGACGTGGCTTCACCAGGTGAAAGGCGCTGGTAAAGCCCAGGACAACCTCTGATCTTTTGGCTGTCCCTTAAGCTGTATTATCTCTGCAAACATGCCCTTCGCTTAATCTCTATACAATCTTTTCCCAGACAGGGTAATTAAAACCCAGTTCCATGTCTTTTCACTGGCTGCTTCCAGCTAAACGTTTCCCAGCTGCCCTCCTTGTGTCTACGTTCTGCAAATTTTGTCCAGGGTGACTTATTTTGTTTTAAATCAACCTTTGCCCTTCTCTGTCAGCTTTGCTGTTTATACAGATCTTTTTTTCAGGTGAAACACTGTCTTTTCCCCTCTCTGCCTTGTTGAGTTTTATTCATATGCCTGCAGAGTCCTTGCAGAAGCAAACTTTCAGCCAGTTCTGTGCAGTTATTAAACACTTTCCTCATAAATTTATACCATCTCTCCTTAACTCATTATGCCCACAAGCACAGGCAGAAAACTGCAGCGCATGAGTGACAAGGTGGGTTTTCCATGCTGGGCAATGCCCCCGACTTGCAACAGGCCTACGCGCACAGAGGGATTTCAGTCTGAAGGATGCCGAGTAGCTGTAGTCCCAAGCAGAGGAGGCATAACCCAACTGGGGCAGCCAAAGCCCAAAAGTGGGACCACTGTGGAGGCAGCTCCAAACTGCCCCCAGCCAGGGCCACCTCTGGCGGGTGCCTTGCCTGCCCTTCTCCAGCCCTCGGAGAAAGGCAGGATGAATGCTGTGGTTCTCAGCCCTGTAAATATTTGACACACAGTCTGTAGGGCCAGTGTTTCTGTTAGCAGGTATTACTCTTGAAACCCAATCTCTTGTAGTCTTCAGAATGACTCTCTACTTTGTTTTTATGCCTTCATGAAATACTCTTAGGCTAGATGCAGGACACACACACGCTCTGGTGTGATGGTTTTTACTGTTTGGTATAATTAAAAGACATGTATATGAGTTTGACATCAGTTTTCCAGCACAACAAACAAATGTTGTTATAGTCGTATAGTATATAGTATAGTCGTATAGTCGTATTCTCTGAACTTTTCTTTTGATTGCTACTAGATCATGTGGTGAAGAGCGTGAAAGCAACTCTTACAAAATATCAATACAAAGGACTGTGCTGGCAGTCTAAACCTCATATTTTAATTCTTGATGATAAGGAAACATATCAGTGGTTTTAATGTAATGTAATGGATGCAAACTGTCTGAAAGGCTGCATGGAAGTTGTTCACAAACGTAGCTGAGGGATTAATTAATAATAGCTTATCTGGCACTTTTCATCAGCTGATCTACAAAGGAAATCAATGTTCTTATTCCCCTGTTATCGGTACAGAAGCACAGAGAGAAGAAAGGACTTAATAGGGTTGACACCTCCTGCTAACAACATCATGGCTTTCAGAGGTGTTAATGACTTCTGGCTCTTGAGTTTATTTGGCCTTAGGAGGGCCCTGGAGGCCCATTAAGCAACTGTCAACCTTGACCTAAATAATTTCTTTACATTTCAATCTATTTATTGTTTTCACCTTTAGCACCTTTACAGAGAGCATTGCAACACTAAGAAGTTACATCTTAATTCGATTATCAAGAGTCCCATGGGCTTCCCAAAACTCAGTTCAAACATTTTATAACCTTGCCAAGATTTAGATGTGTTAAACTTTCAACACTGAATGCAATCCCCTGGACTTCAAAGGAGTGTGTGAATACAGTGCATAAAGATGAGTCCTTGCAGATTCAGAACATGGGTCAGTATCTTTGCTGGAAATTAAATATTTTATGGTGAAGTATTACAAAGAGGGTTGTTTTTTTTTTGGTAATTATGCATTTGGGAGCACAGTGCAGCTGCTTTAATTCAAAGATTGCTTTATACTGAAAACCTGCATGAACTGCCTTGTGCTTCAGGAAATAACACTTAAAATAAAAGGTGCCATTTTCTAAGTTTGTTTTGTTTAAAGCGTGACCCAGGTTCATGCATACATGTTTCCCCCATCACTGCATAAAAAGAATATTTGTATTAGAAACTGTTTGTGGCAGCTGAAACCAGAAGGCTAAAGATGGTTATATATCAACTTTTTAAACTTCACATTGTAAAACATGTAATCCAAAATAGGTAAATCCAGCCAGACTTGTTCAAGACATGGCCCAGGATCAGTGATACAGATCGTAAAACTTACTGAGGCTTACAGAATCCGAGTTGTGGGTTTGTAGTTTACTCTCACTGCAGGTTGTCTCGCAAATATTTTGCACGCCCTAAAGGGACAAATACAACGGCTCCCTCAGCACCTTCGTATCTGTAGTGCCAGAGCCGCATGTGCACCAGTACGCTCTGCAGCCTCCTGCCCTCTCCGGGGGCTGAGACCCACACTCGTCCTTGTTCCACTGAAGTGAGTCTTTGGGGCAGGGGAAGAGTGGTTTTGTTGCACTAAGAAAGTATTCTTACTAAAGCTGCACTTGAATCGGGGTTGTTAGTCACAGCTATACTGTGTCTGTCTTATTCTCTCCATTATTCTTTAGACATAACACAGAGCCTACATTAGTACAGACTCCAAAGCTTGCAGACTTGGAGGCTGGAAATTTTTCCAAGACAGAAGGGTCGGCTTTATTTACATACTGGATAATATGCAGTGATTCAGTCTACAAAGTTTTATCATTTTACTAAGAATTTGTTTATGATTTGATTGAGTAAATGATACTGGATATTTATCATGTTCATCCAAGGACATACACTATGTCCTCAAGCAACTCTGTCACCCTGACTTTGTGACTCTAGTTTATTAATGAAATCCAAGTTCATGAGAATAAAGAGGAAGAATTCTGTCCGAGGGCTTAGGAGCTGCATCCGACAAAGAAATAACTGTTAAGGGAGCGATTCTGTTGAGGTTTGTTTGTTTTGCCTTTTTTTTTTTTTTAAAGAATAAATCAAATTAAGCCCTTGTTGCTGCCATTGTCAGAAGGGCCTCTGCCAGCACTTCTTTTCAGCTGGCTCTTAAAAAGTGAGAAAAATATGGTGAAATATAGTAATATGGCCCTGGTGTAACCATCTGACTACCAGTTTGAGCAACCTACCAGTGCTGCTAAGATTAAAGAGTACCACACAAACAGTTGTACAGTATGTGGCAGGTTGCAGAAGCTCCGCCAGACACACTACATACGAACCCAAAAGGGAGAGTCCTCCTGTCTGCATACTTGGGTTAATTCTCCAAAAAAGGAGGGGAGAAAGCAGGCAGATCTAATGATAAGAAGGCGTGTAAAAAGAGGCATACATATACAGAGGTGTACAGCAGGCCAGCCATCAGGCAAAACCACATTGCCAAAAGGAACATCTTCAGCCTACAAGAAATAAGGAGAAAAGAATGAAATTAGCCAGAAAAACAGCAAAATGTAAGATGACTTGAATGCAACAACTCCAGCCCCTTCATGAGTAGTGTTTTGTCTTCTTTTGTTGTCCACCTAAGCTGGACAACAGCTTTTCCAGAAATTTGTAGTTTCTAGCACAATGAAGGTACAAAACTAAATAATCCTTAAAATTGTCAAGCTCCTAACTGATAAGCCTATAAAGCCACTTCCTCCAGCCACATTTGCTTATAGGCATTTTTTTCTAAAATACAATGATCAAAAAAATACAAAGCCTCTCATCCCCTCCAAAATGAATAATTCTATCAAAATATGATTCCTTCAGTATAAATCATATTTTGCTTACTTTTCAGCAGCCACAGCAGATCATGAGGGTGGTATCACAAGAAGAACTGACAAATTAACCCAGAGCTCCCGCATCCTAAGGAGTTCATGCTCTACACAGGGTTGCATCACAGCTCTATGAATCAAGTCTCACGTTCCCGGCCAACTTCTACCACTTAAATACCCTGACTCCAAATCTACAGCTGCTTAACTTTTGTTGCATGGTTAATCTGACTGAAGTCCAAGTGCAGGATTTCAGGGGCCTCCAATATAAGTATTGCACCTCCTGTCACTGCTACCCGTGCAAACATTGGCACTCTAATTCAGGGACGTGGCGAACTGCCAGGACAAACCAGTAGGCTGCAGGGATTTTTACGTACCTTTAGGGTCAGACAGCTGCACAGCATGAGATTTATAGCTTTCTTAATGTGGCCCAATGGAATCAGCTGAGTCCTGTTTCTGGTGCTGAAGTAAATATTCTAGAACCTATTCACCTTGACAAAATACTTACATTAAGAGTTTGGATGGTTGAGGACAAGTCATAAAAACCTCCTATGTATTTTAACTCCCCCATTCCTCAAATGTCTTTTAATTATGTAATGATATTTTAAGGGTTAATTCATATTTGAGGAAATCTCACAGGTGCCCGCATCATTCTGAGTACTTTCTGTGTAATGAAATAAAACCAGCAATGTTCTTGCTATTCTGAGACAGAGAGAGCTTGTGAAACTGCGAGTTACGTGCAAAGTACTTGTCATACAGGTTTTGCATAGCCCTGGGACACATGGCTTGCATTATCCGGGAAAGGGCGCAGCAGTAAGGCAAAAGAGCTCTTCTCAGTATCATGATGTACCTGGCTGAAATTTCACTGAGACCCTCCCCAGGCCTGGGAACACGAAACATCCTGAGGATGGAAGATTGAGGGAGGAGGCTCACTTGCATTTTCAGCAGATTGAAGGGAGAAGGCTCTTGGTGATGTGGATGTTCTTGGTTCACGCGCAGCAAACAGGACCGTAGTAAGAATAAATTAATATCGGCTATCACATTTTGAAAAGGACTTTGAACGTTTCAGGTCCTTTCCAGGAAAGAGGTCTAACCACTAGGCAGTTACATAAAAGATGAACATCCTACCCTGGAAAAAAAGTGAGCTCTGCCCAGTCATTTACAAGAATACTCATAACTGAATACCCTCAAAGTGGACTAGATCCTTTATCGCACATAATTCAAAATGCATCCCTTGGAGCCTGGAGGCGTGGAATGTGGTTTCAGAGCCATTCTCGTATTTGGTTTGCTATCAGCTAACTCCAAATAGCTTCCTTATCAGCCTGTAGACTACTGTTGGACTGCCTGTCAACGTATCTACCTTTTCCACTGCATCGCTGAGGGAACCTAAGGGCTTAATTGTGGCCTCTAGATTCCAGTTTGAAGGTTAGGAGTTAAAATGGAAGTACTGTAGTGCCTGACTTGCTCACACGCATATTTTTTTTGGCTGTAGGTCAGATCTTTGTTATAAAAGGGATGATCTCATTTGTAATAACTGCTGTGGTGACAAACAGTGCTCCTGAAACCCCCCCAAAATCATAATTAGTATGAAATATGAACATATTCCCCATACTGTGGCTTCTTTTCCACCTCTGAATGTGAAATGAACAAATGCTGTCAGTAAGAACCCTAGGGAAGCTTTCACTCCTACTGTAATGATGAATACACCTTGACAAACCCTTGAACATGAATCAGCTCCATTTCATAATCTTGGGAATTTGGTACTAGGGATTTCCCCTCTCCCCCCCCCCCCCAAAAAAAAAGCCCAGAAATAATTAAAGCATGTATCTATGCATGGTAAGGCACATTCCCACCTGCTGTGTATTTTATACTTTCCATCCTAATTCTCTTATACCAAATCTCTCTTCCCTAGAAACTTACTTTACATGCCTTGCCTGTTCTCCTCTGCCCTGAGTCTGATGACGGGATTTGAACATGCTACCTTTCTCTTCCCTTCATGTCCTAGGATGCCACTTGGTGAACTCTCCTGCTCCTGCTGTTCAGGTTGATTCCCAAGATTTCCTTTCCAGTAGTGTAGGGTGCATCCCTCTGATGAGGGCGAGTCATTAGAAGAAGTCTAGCCTTTTGAAAAGGCATTTTTTTCCCCATGAAGTAGTAGTAACTCCCCAGGATCTGGTTATGTGGTCTCTGATGGGAGTCCTGCAGGGCCCTGTGGAGGGGCTTGTTCTCATCCTTGGACGGGGGGTCCATCAGTGAGTGGGTTCTGCCACTGGGGAACCTGCAGTTGGGATCCCAGCTGCTTTGCGCATGTTCCCATAAGAAGCTTCCCGCTGCCAGAGTTCACAGCAGTTGTTTGCCCCTGCAGCACAGTTGGTTACGGACACAGATGCGACTCTCACCCTTTTACACAAAATTCCATCAAATATGCAGTACTCGCAGTTGATGCAAGCAAGCGTGAGAAATCCTGTCCTTTCTTAACGAGGGCAAATGTCTTTAAAGGGTCTGCTTAAATTACAGTGATAAAAAGGCTGCAATTACTGTATAACTACATAAGCTTCGTTTGAAAGAAGGAACCCTCTAATTCTGGGCCCTAGGCTGATTAAGAGCTGTGCACAAGTCTAGTTTTTTTATTCCATCCCTCCTCTGGTGTCTTGCTAGTAATAAGCAAAAAAAAAAAATCCAGAGATGGTACCTGAATGGCCACATGCACGGGGTTAATAACCTGCTTATCTCTCCCGCAGGTAAAGGTGCAGATAATAAAGGAGAGCATGGGAATGAAAGCACAATTAGCTATTCTGGGTAAAAGCAAGCAATTCTGCAATTTAATGCCTGGTAGCCAGAGCGAACAAACATCTTCTAGAAATGGGATTTCCACACCCACAGCTAAGTTATTATTAATCTGTGTATTTTAAAAAGCAAGAAGCTAAACCTCCTCTTCTCGTTTTGATTTCCTGTTTCTGAAGGATCCCACCCCACACAAAACAACCAACCTTTCCCTCCCCCTTCCCAGATGTTACTGTTATAAGCCTCTAATCCTGGCACTAAAGGGCAACAAGAATAATGCTTTTTTGTTGCTTTAGGATATGTTAGCCTCTCTGAGATGCCACGGGGAGAAAAGTTCCATTTTCTTACCATACAGATAGCAGATTACAAAACTTAAAAAACACAGAAACCTCAGTCACTGAAAAATGAAAGTATAATGAAACTGCTTTCCATGTCTGTATCTGTTTCCCACTTATAAAATGAAGGGGGGGCGGAATTAAGCGTTCCAATCCCTTGTAAAGGGCTTCTGAGGAGTTACCAATTAAAGACTGCAAGATACTCTCATGCTATAGTTGAGGGCACATAATAAAGTCAAAAAGGGAACATTCTCATTTTTAACACAATAGAAACGCTCCTTGAATATTCCTTACCTGAATCATGCATGAAATGGCATATATCTGTATTGGCATGTGGCATGGTTATATGCATGCATTCAAGTTCATGGGAAGAATTAAAAAGAACATAACAGCTGTACTTCTGTAATGACTTTACAGATGAAAGCCTATCATTGCAGTCTCTTTTATTACCTTAACCTTTTTATTCATTTGTTATAGCAAATTATAACATTGCGCACCTCGCATCTGTATACAATTTGCTAGTCATTAAAATTCTGTGCATTTCCAGGATCGTTTGCCAATGTAGATACGGAAAAAAAAAAAAAAACCCAAACCAAGCAGTTGGGCAGATTCAGTAACGACAGACACACTCACCCGTCATTTAAATGAGGAGGTGATGTAATAAGAAGCGTGTCTTGTGACATGAGAACATGTGCTGTGCCACTCTGTACTAAAATAGGGACGCACTAAAGCCATCTTATTCCATTCCCTGGAAAATCCAGACCTGTAACTCTGAAGAAAAACAGTCACCATCTACACAGTGCTTGTACTTTTTGCTTTTGTTGCTGATGGGAAATAACAAGTTAACACTATTTGGTCCTTAATGTTCCAGTTCATGGGTCAGCCGACAAACCAGATTTCTGAGGTACGCAGTGAACTTTCCCTATCACACTAACATATTACAACATTTCAACAGTGTGTGAACAATACTTGCCTAAAAGATTAACAAATTTACAACATGCCAAGAATATAGGGAAAGTGTTATAACACAAGAAAAAGGCACTCTTATGTATGGAACTTTGAGCATTATCCTACAAAACAAATATAAAATCCAGACTAGATTAAATTCAAGGGGTTGTAGCTGGTCATTGAACTCATTTTTTATTGCACTTGGTAAAGTTCACAGCATAGCAATCACAATACCAACAAGAAATAGACAAAACTTAAGCCGCCTTCTTCTAAAACTACATAATCTTTTTTTTTTTTTTTAATCTTCCTGAAGAATAACATACTTGTTAAACCTTATCTAAGCAAAATGCTACAGTGGTTCATTAAACTTATTTTTACTGAAGAAAGGTGAACTCCTTTAAGTTCTGTTGAAAAAGCTATCACTGGAATTCATGAGTGGTAACTTGTAGAGAGATAAGCTGAATGTTAATACCTTAAATTGCTGGCTAAAGTTCTGTGCAGAACAATTTAAAGCACTCCGGTTTTTAATTTTTTTTTTTTTTGCTTAGGGTAACATATTCATTAGGAAATAATATACATTTCCCTTTTGCCCAAGTAATTTTCAAGATTAAGTCTTATAATAAATAAACTCTTGCCTTCTCAAATCTGGGCACTCAACTCACCAAAATTCACCATAAATCTGGTATACTTAGCATATATTTATTTATATTCAAAATTGCTTAAAAATAAGCCTTCCTTTGCCTCTAGACGTGTTAATGTTATTAATAATGCAATAAAGCCGTAGGAGCATTAGGATAATCATTTCAACAGGAAATTGGCCATTCAGATCTCTACAGATACTGTTTTCTATCCATCATGCTAGGGAATGGTTTTAATTCTCTTAAGGAAAAAACCCACTATCTTGCAGATGTCCTTTACACAGGAAGATATGAAATTCAAGCTATTTCAGACCATGACAGAAAACAAGTCCCACAGTCCCGGAGAGTGCCTTGCCACCTGCTCCTTCTATTATATTAGGAGAGAAAGCCAACTGGCCGCTGCTGACTCAGATAAACTGTTCTCCAACTATTTAAAGCTTTACAGGCCGGAAGCAGTACCTTAAATATACACAGTAACCGGTGGTTATCCAAATGGCTACCAAGCAAGGTGCTCTGCTTAATAAATGAACCACTGATTCTGCTTCTGTCACTTTGGCAGGGTGGACACAACAGCAGCTGGAAGCACGATGCATTCTGCACCCCGTTTGCCATGGATTTCCACAGCTGTCTTGCTGAATACTTACAGCCCGTGGGAACGTGACAGGGAGTACACTCATTTGCCAGGCATCCTTGAAAACGCATGCGTTCCGGGTGTCCTGCTCAGATGGCACTTGTATGGGCAGCTGAGCTGTACTGAGAATAGCTTTGGGGCCATCTTTAGCAGATGAAACACATTATCTGTAACAGCTCCGTTTTAGGGTGCTCTCCTCTTCGGGTCCCGCTGCAACATTTATTTAGTCTAAAAAAGCAAGAATAATTTAAAAGCTATTTCAGTTTTGCTGTCATGTAATTTTCATACTAATAGTTCAAAGTAAAGGAGTTGCAGCCAAACACACAAACACTTCCTGCTTTTTAAGAGGAGTTATCTAGTACATACCATACAGACAAGTCTCACTGTATCCTTAGTAATCGCTGTGATTTTTTTTTCCTGTATAGTTATTCAGATCTCCTTCCAGAATTCATCATTAAGTTAATTAACAGATTTCAGTTTCTTCTGTGTTTAAGGGTAGATGGTTTGTGACTAGCCCTGGGAAAATGCACAAAAGAAGAAAAAGGCTTGTTTTTCAGCTGTCTTTGCATCTTCTACCCAGGAAAAAAAAAAGGGGGGGAAGCATTTAAATTAAGAAACACAGTATCTTGCAGGATTAGCATGGGGAGAGATGTTACACATTTCTCAGAAGGCAGAGAAACGACAGCAAATCCTCCACTCTCAAGACAGTAAATTTTCTCATGTACCATTTCAGGGGTGGTTTATTTGTGTTTCTCTAGCACACCACTGAACCTGAAACCTCCTTTACATTTCATTCATCCTTCTTTCAGTAATAGCAGTTCTTCCATTGGGGGTATTATTGCTTATATTATGACAGCGCTTCAAGTGAGGTCAAGACTGTATAATGCAAATATATACAACCCATACATATATAAAGTACAATGTAGAAAATCTATGATGATTCCTTTGGTGCATTCTCATGGCCTTGAGACAGTCTTACATAATTGATGTTCAAGTTGGGAAATATTTTCCAGCTTTTACACAAAATTTTCCTGTAAGGATTTATTCCTTCAGAAACTTAAAAAAAAAGCAGAGAAATTTTTCTAAGTAATCCCAAGAGTGCAAATTTAGAAAGCCAAAGGGCAAGACCTCTAGATCTTGACTTAGGAAGTATATCCTGCAGTTTAAAGCTTAATTCAGAACAGTTTGGAGGGGCAGGGAGGAGCAGAAGTATATCAAGGTGAAAAAAATGATTCTGATGCTCATGGCTATTAACCAAAGGTCTGCTTCTGCATTTAAAATCTAAATCACGAGGGACCCACTAGATTAAACTGACACTATGCATATCACGGACCAGCAGATTTCCATCTGTATTCCTAAAGCATAACTTCTGCTTGGGTAAAAATAATTTTCAGAAATACCTCCAATCTTCATCTGAAGACATACAATGACGGAAAACCTTCAGCTTTTCCTGAGAATGGGTTCTGGTGGTTAAGCATGTAAAAAATGTGTCTTATTTCCTATGTGGATTTGTCTGGCTTTTGCCTCCAGCTATTGCTTCTTATTATGCCTTTCTTCACTAGATTAAAGAACCCTTCGATATCCAGAATTTTCTGCCAGGAATGTTCTTACACACTACAATCAAGTCACTTCTCAATCCTCTTTTAGATAACTTCAACAGCTTGAGCTCTTAGAATCTCCCAGTGTAGTGCATTTTCTCCAACCCTCAGAACATTTTGCTTCACTTTTTTGTTCATTTTCCAATATCCTTCTTAAAAATTGGAAAATAGAACTGTATGCACTATTGGGAAAAATTGGAAAATAGAACTGTATGCACATTGTTCACCTCAACAATGATACCCACAAAAGCAAAGTAAACCTTTTTTTCTAAATTCTTTTGTTTATACATTAATCTTTTTCTGCCACAGCTGCACATGGGAAAGCCGTTATCAAATTGCTTATTCATTCTGACCCTTAAATCCTTTTCAAAGTCATTTCCTTCCCAGGGTATAAACATTTATCTGTTCTTTAGTTGTAGCCTGCGCACTTGGTTCTTAGGTGGACGACTTGGTATTTCCCTGGATTAAAATTCACTACACGGGATGGTTTTACCAACCATTCTGCTCAGTGCCTTGTCCTCATCGTTATTTTGGACTTCATTAATCTTTGAGCTCGATTTTCAAAGCAGCAACGTTAGATTTGCTTCCAGATCGTTGCTAAAAACGTAGTACCAGATAGGACCTACTACTGGAAGCACCAACTCGTTCAGCTCAGTTTTCCTACACACTTCCTCTTCTTGAGATCAGACAGCAAATCCCAGTTGTGTGGTTTATTGGCGCTGCGTGCATCTAACATTACCGAGAACACCATGCAGCGCTGGTGTCAGGTATCTCCTCAAAATAGGACTAAGATGACTGAGCAATAGCTGTTTTTACTATAGCACTGCGTAGATTGGCATTACGTCCCTTTATTTCAACCTTTTGTTATTGAAATTCTGCATCACATTTTCTATCATACCGGTTGGGAGAGCTACTAAGCTAACTAGTCACTCGGGTCATCTTTTACCCCTTTCCAAAAACGGCGCTAACGATCGCGTTTAGCGGTCGTTTAACCTCCTGAACAAAAGGCAAGATACAAACATCCCTAAGTACTAGAAAACCACGGCGCAGTATCGGCTTGACAGGCAGAGGCATCGGAGAGCTCCGCC